ATCCTGGCTTTGCCCTGCTGTATTCCATCACCATTCATCTGCGGCTGCATTCATCTTCATACTTTGAAAGATCAACCAAATCTTGATTCTGTAAATTCCCAAATATCCAATTTTTGAACCCACAGCTCTACCAGGAACAAGAACTGACTGAGATTGAATTTTTCCTAAGTATGTGCATCTAAAAACTGCAAGTAGAAGTACATAATATCCCTGCTTTCAGTGAGACCCCAGAGGAAAAAAGCTAAACCATGAAAAAGTCTAGGATAAAAGGATTAGTATGCTCTTTATAATCTTAGCATCTTAAATCTTTATGTTTCTAAATACAATAAAATGTCTAGCTGATAAGTTTTGTTAAACTCTAAAGATAAAGAATTTGATCTAAAATAGTTTATTTCCTATTTCTAATCTTTTAATCATAAAATGACTAATTTGAAGTTCCAAGAAAATTCATTCTTGCTGATAAAATATCTTAAATGCTTTATTACTTTTTATATTTAGATAACTTAGGTGGAAATCTTTGTGTTACTCTACAGTTTTTCTTTAACTGGAGCCTTTCCTTCCTGTCCAGTCTCCCAGTGCTGAATCATGGGCTCTTCTTTATAGGCAGAGTCCCCTTGGTACCAGAAGCAGTGAACAAATTGCAGAATTATTATGGCTCAGGGGTTTATAGCTGTCTGGGGCTCCTCATTTAATCAACAGGTGTAGTAGCAGCTGAGGACTTGAGCAACAGCAGGTTCCCAGCTGGCCCACAAGGCCTGGGGAATGCAATGCCAGAGGCACAGAGGTGGCTTCTGTCACTCCTGGCCCGAGCTGGATCACACGTGCTGCTGCCTGCCTGATCCTGTAGCCTTTCCACCTTACTGAGACTTCATGTGATCAGCACAGCTGTCACTATTCAATCTGAGCACTTTCTGCTGTCTGACAAAGTAGGGTGTGTTTCAGGCTTTTTTGCATGCAACAGGCATGAAAACTCTCTGATTAAAATGCTTGCAAAGAGAATGTTCCTTTGAAAGCAGACTGCCACTTCCTGGGGATGAAGTCCAGTGATGCTGGTCTCACAGAGCAATGGAAGGTACTGCGCTCAGGGGGAGAGTGGAGTGCAAAGGAAACACTCCATTAGAATCTGTGAATTCACCACAAAGATCTACAGAGGGAGTCTGAAATGCTTTCCTCTGCTGCAAACACAGTAATACTTTATAATCTTTGCTTGTCCCATTACACTCTGCTCTGGTTCTCTGAGCATTCCAGTATGCTTACTGTAATCATCTTCTGTCCTTACTCACAGCCAAACCTTTATTAGGTCAGGGATTGTTGTTTATTTGCTTCCGTATAGGATGCATCTTTCTGCTGCAAATGACTTCCTCAGTTCTGTTTGTATCAAAATGCTTGATCTGAATTGGTTTCTACTCTCACTGAGAGGCAATTGTAAAAGCTTGGGCCTAATGCAGCAACTGCCCAAAGCTGAATTCTTCTGTTTAATGTGAGGTTCCTGTCTGGAATTGTGCAATGTTTGCTTTGGTTTGTGTTGTTGCTATGAGATTTCTGGGTGACTTTTGCTGCCTTTTTTTAGGGGGGATATTACTTGTTTTATAGTCTTCAGGCAAAGCACAGGGACTGTTTCTCAGCATTGTTCTGCACTGCTCTTTGTGCTGGGCACATGCCATGGGCAAGCTGCAAAGCCACTTGGAGGTCTACTCTGTGCGGCTTGAGGAGAGGGTTATGTTATAAGAATATATAACCACACTGGCTACTTCTTCTGAAGCAAAACCTCAGATTTCCTAGAATATTGTTATTCCATCAGAAAAAAAATTGCTGTCCCAGAAAGAAAATGCTTCAGGCAAATGTTAGTCTATGGATTTTGACCAGGAAATAGGGAGAATGTGATTATAGTAAGGGGAAGATACTGTTAAATGTATCAGTTGCAGAATTCAAGTTGGAGACACAGTAGCACCGTCCTGTGTCTATGAGGACCTCCACCTGACTATGGAATCTTCCAGCAGCATCAAACGTTCAGTGATTAGGTACCCTCACTAAAGGGGAAATAGGCTGCTGGGAGTCAGTGACCTCCAGCAACCTAATGAGAAGAAAAAAATTGCCATCACATCCCTGTTTATTTTCAGATCACTGCTAATCTAAGCCTGCCCATACAAACATGGTTGAACTTCAGATATTAAAGTTTTGTGCCGTTCTCCACACTTCCAATTAAACAAATTAATCCATTGTCTCTCTTTTTCATGTTTGTTTTACAGGTATAAGTTTTCAAATGACTCAAATGGAAAAAAAGAAACACTGCAGGCCTTGTCCTCAGCAAATCTCTTCAGTGATTCCTGGTCCACTTCCACAGCTAAAATGAGCAGACTGAGAGGAAGGTGAAAAACATCTGCCTGTGCACGTACAACTGAGGAAGTCATT